TCCAGGGACCCTGAGCCCTATGTCTGGCACTTACACACTCAGGGGACGTTTAATGAAACAAATAGAATTGGCAAATGGTTGACAGAATGTGCTTCCCTTCTCAGTTCCTCTCCAGGAAAGTGACCGTCTCATCCATTGAAATGTGATCTTCCTGATGAGGAAGGGGTTGGGGGTCTTGTGAAAACCCAGTGTTCTTCTCAATAAGCCCTTGAGCCGCTCTTGGGAAACTTTAGAAAAACTCCAGCCCACATCTCACCATTTTAGGCAGAAGCAGTGTATCAGCTCAGGCTGCCATAATAACATACAATAGGCCGGGCAACTTAAATAACAGAAACGTGTTTTCTCCCAGTACTGGAGGCTGGCAGTCCAAGATCAAGGTGCTGGCTGATTTGGGCCTCTTCCAGTGAGGGCCTCTTCCTGGCTTGTAGGTGGCTGTCTTCTCACTGTGCCCTCACGTGGCAGGGTGGGGGGAGAAGGGATCTAATAAGGCCACTGATATAATCAAATTAGGACCCATCCTCCTCATGACCTCATTTAACCTTGGTTACCTCCTAAGTGCCCTATCTCCAAATACAGTCACAATTGGGGGGTTAGGGCTTCAACATAGGAATTTTGGGGGACACATTTCAGTCCACAGCAGGTGGCCAAGGCAGAATTAGGCACAAGTGGACACACTTATCCTTGATAGCCTCAGATCTCCTGTTTTCTCCCCCTGCACACAGGAGTTCATGCTACCCTGTGCCTTCCTGTCCCCTCCTGTCCCCCACCTCACCCCACCAACACCTCAGCTCTAAACAGTTCTGACTTCTAAAAAGCGTGCCATTTTTAAGCCATATTCAACTGGTAGACATGTTTATTTTGGGAGGGAGTACATGGTATGTGTTTTTATTTGAATTAGAAACTGACATACCAAACAAATATTTCAGATATAAATCCAGAGTCACAGCTTCTGAGAACACAGATGAGCTGGCAACACCATATTTCCATCCTCCATGGCACCCATAGGCTGGAGCCAACCTCTTCACAGGGGGCCTGGACCCTGCTGTTGGCCACATTACCTATCATTCCAGAATGTTCTTGCATCTGGCCCTCTCCGTGTGTGTTATGTGCCTCTCCCTTCTGGTCAGTTGAGTTTGCAACTCTTGCCCCAGCCCTTTTCTTCTTGCCGTATCCTCACCCAAGTTTACTTTTTGCCCATAATTTTGTTAACCAGCTGCTAGAAAATAAAATAAGGCTATTCCTGTTTAATGTATTAGTGGATATTAATGAATTAAAAAAACCTTCTTCACTGGCTGTAGCTGCCCTGTGAGGGAGTTTTCAGGGAGACATAGTCCTAGCAGTCCTCAAATCCAATCCCATGACTCTCTGGTCAGTGTGCTTGGGGCTGGTCCCAACCTCTCCACATTCATCTCTAAAGCAGAGGTGAGGGTCATGCCCCTTCCATCCTGTGGCTGAAGACAATTAGACTCAACAGCCTGGGCCTCTTGATTCTTATAGCGTAGGCCTGTCTCTTGCCTTCACTGTCTGCTACACTCTAAACCCTCTTACTTTGCACGGCTGAAGACAATTAGACTCAACAGCCTGGGCCTCTTGATTCTTATAGCGTAGGCCTGTCTCGTGCCTTCACTGTCTGCTACACTCTAAACCCTCTTACTTTGCACGGCTTTAAACTTAAAAGACCTAAGGCTAAAACTATTTCCATGGCTTAAAAATCCTTCCCTGGAAAAGAGTGTTGTTACATTTCCCAAGAAGAGGGAAGACATGTAGAGGTTGCTTTTCTCTCTGCACGACTGCTATTTCAGGTCAGGAAGACTGAGATAGAGGGTGATGGGGAACAGCGAGTGTTCAGAAAATTCCTCCTCGTCACAGTCCTGGCAGTGCATGAGTCATGAGCTCCCAGCTCCAGGCTGTGGGCGTGTGTGTGTTGTCAAATGCGATTACTGGGCACTCAGATGTGGTCAGTGCCCACCACAGAGGGCTCAACAGGGGCATCTGTTGTCTTGTAGCATGGAACTGTGTGTGTACATGGGTTGCCCTATCCCAGGCTGTAGAAAACCTCATTGCTCAGACAGGAGTGTCAGATCATATTAGATCCACCCCATCCTCCTCCACCTCCTCCTCCTGTGGATTGTCAGAGCTGGGGCCACCCGCACTGGCTGTCGGGAGACTCTCATTTTGTCGTGTTGCAACTACCAGCCCACGTCTTTCAGAGGCCTTCTGGTCTCAAGCATGCAACCAATACTTAAGGTGATCTCTATTTGGCTTGGTGGCATTTCTTGGGCAGTGCTGATTGATTCAGAAAAGCTTGATTTAATTGGAGCAGTGGTCGCTTGCCTGGGTGAAGAGCTCAGGCCCTGCACAGTGTCAATGATGAGGGCTTCCAGGGTAAGTCTTCTTGCTTCTCAGCATCTTAATAGGATGAGAAGGGTGAGCAGTGGGCTTTCTGAATTTCCCCCAAGTACTCCAAATACATGCATGTCAGAGTCGCATCTGTCTCCTGCCACTGCAGGGGACGTTGGAACCAACGTCTGCTTAAGCTGTAGCACTGAGTACAAAACCAATCATACCCCCTCTCCCATGCCCACTTCCGGGCTTCTGCAGTGGTAAACAAGCATGGACAAAGTGGGATGCTCATAATTTGGTGGATAAATCAATAGTCTGAGTAGGCTCAAACTGGCATCTTTACTCTGTTCTTGGGGCCTTTTCCTGGATGCCTTTGTCAATTAATGGATTTCTTTCAACATGACTGTATGGAGGGCTTTGGCACTCTGCTGACTTATTTTGTGATTCTTGAAGCATGGGATCGTTAGTTTTTAGTACAACACTGCTTTTCAACAGCTCTTCTGTAACTGACTCCTCACAGGGGGTAGAACAGTACAAGTGGTACCTGAACTCCCGATTATTGCTTGAAATAATTTGGAAGAGAGAGTGAGATTCCTCTCCCTTTTGCATAATCCTATCATGGGTTGGTGTTTCCTGGACTGTATTTAGATCCTGAGTTTTTTTCTTGGGCAGATTGATTTCTTAGGTTAGACCACTTACCTTGAATCACTGAGATGAAACATAAATAAAATAAATAGATATAAGCATTTCTACAGTCACCAGAATGCTGGATGAAAGATCAGCCCTCCTTTTCTCCCTCATGCTCCTTTCTTGCAATCCATTCTTCCTAAATCAGAAGCAAAAAGAGGGGATGGCATGGACTAAGTGGCTGTTTGGTTGTGGAACCTGGTAGATATGGGGCAGTGTAGCGGGGCTTCAGTAGGGAAGGGGACCACCTGCTTTAGCCTTGATCACGTGCATTTATGGTTCTCTTGAGTCAGCAGGGGACAACATTATAATTTGCTTTACTTGAGGAAAAATAAAAAGATAAATATGTGTTGCTGGGAACATCTCAGAGGAGGGAAATGACTGCTACATTATCAAGCTCTTTCCCATAGATTGGGGGATCATCATTTCCCAGGAACAAGCCACCATGGATTGGCATGTCCAGGTTCCTTCATTGTGTTTGGTCACTGTGGAAACATGGTGGGTGCTAAAGAGTGGAGAAGCTCATAGTGACTGCAGCTGAGAGGAAAGGAAGGTTGAGCAAAATATTGAATCTGAAGACAGCTAGGAGACCCTCTCTCCTTGTGGGAAGTGTTTGGAACCACATGATCCTTCCACTTTTCTATCATGAGTGCAAATGCAGCACTTGAAATATTATAAAGGAGTTTACCAGATCAATTCAAGATGAGGGTGGTCTGCAGGTGCTAATTCATTGAGAGAGCTGAAGTGAAGAACCAGGCAAACAGCAAATTGCAGGCCTGGCTGCTGGTGACTGTGTGGTTGCCAGTCACCTTCACTGTGGACCATTAATCATCCCCACTATTTCTTCCTGGTCTTTTTGGAATGCATGCTATATTATTCCTTCTTTAATCTTCATGAGGATCCTCAACTTACTTACTGAAGTCCTTTTCAGGTTGCTTTATTATTTTTATTTCCTCAGGTATAAATTCCTCCTGATTTTTAGTTTCGTAGAATATTTTTAGCAGTGTAAGTTTTCTTTATGTGTTTTGGAATTTCTATTTTCAGATTTATCTTGAGTGGGAGGTGTTTACTCCTGGGTTGTCTCTCTTCCTGTGCTCACTCTCATTGTCATACCTGTTTGTAGTCACCATACCACACCCTGAGTGCTCCTAGTCTTAAACTGGATTTTGTTATTGTCAGCTCAGAGTTCCTGTGCCTAGGTGATATTAAGGAGCAAGACCAGTCCTGACATGGAACAAGTGGGTTTACTCTTTCCTGTGTCTCTACATGTGCCACCTTATGTAAGCCATAGCTCTAGGCAGAAGTCATAGATTTTTTTCAGTTTTATTGGAAGGGGGGTTGACTCCAGCCTTGGGTCATGCAATGACCTTAGCTCTGGTCTCTTGTCTCACATGATACACCTTGAGTCTTAGATATTCTGGACTCAGAATCTAGAAGATACCAGGATTTCCACTTACTACATTGTGTTCCAGCCATTTATAGTCCTTAAAAACTTTTACTTTTGAGCAGGGCAAGTCTTTTAAAATCTCCTCTCTCTATTGTTTATTGTGGCTATATGTTTGGAGCAGTGTTCACAGAGATAGGAGTGGGTCAATGCTTGACTTAATAACTCCAATTGGCAAGGTGTTCTGTTGCTTCCTTAGGAGGACACAGACATGTAATCCAGGTAGGTATGCCACATATCAGATGAGATTTATTTGCTAGGCACTGCACTATGTGCTTAATATATATTATTTTATTATATTCATATAACATCATTGTAAAGCTTTATTAGTACTGTTTTGTAGATTAGGAAATTTGTGGCTCAGGAAGAAGAAAGAAACCAGTCCCAAATCATGCATAGCTTGTGGATTTCATAATTGGTACCAACACCTGGGTCTAATTTCCAATCAGAATGCTTAACTACTGTGTTCTGCCAAGTCTGTAAAAGTAGAGGCACCATCTCATAATGCCTTTTCCTTTCATCCTAGGAGAATGAACTGAAGGATGCCACCCAGACAGTATATCGCCTGAGGCCCCATTATGCAGGTCTTCCCACAAAATCCTGGCAATATGACAAGGTAACCAATGACACCATTAACACATTGTCTGGAGGCCTAGGGCTGGAAGTGGGGTGGCAGGGAGGAACCGTAGGGAGGGAAAGGAGGGGGAACTCACTGAGCTCCACCCAATGTGGGGGGCCTGAGACCCTGGGCCAGGTCTCTCATGCATCTTCCTGTGACCACCACGTGAATCCCCAATGATGTCTTATTCACTGTCCACTTGTTATCCCCCTTGGACGTCTCTTGCGTGCCATTTTCTGAACAACAAGACTTTTGATGCTTACAGTCCCAAACCATTTCCTTGCTCACTTTCTCTCATCCCAGTCCATGGCACTTCCCTCCACACAATTGCTCAAGCCAAGGTGCATCTTGGATTCTGCCCTTTCCTCACCAACCAGCTGCATGGGCACTGGACATAGGCAGCTCCTCTCCCCTCTCTCCATGGCTGTCCCTCCACTCCAGGCCACCATTTTCTCTTGCCTGGATGCCGAGACAGCTTCATGCTGGCCTACCTCCCTTCTCATCATCCTGCAGTCATTCTCCTACAGCAGCTACAGCCATCTTGTAATGTAAAGTAGATCATGCAGCTCCTCGGATGAACTCTTCCAGTGCCTTCCATAAATAGACCTGAAGCTTCTCCCCACACCTGTCCTTTGTGTGAGCCACTGCCTGCCCTTCCACCTCTTCTTCACGGAGCTCTGGACACTCTGGCTTCCTTTTTGTTTCTTGGACCTCTGAGGTTGTCTCAGCACTTGGCAGTTTTCTCTGCTTAGAACTTTCTACTTTCTCATCTTCTTGTCATTCAGCCTCAGGTTTAAAGTCACCTCCTGGTGTGACCGCCCATGGCTGTCCTGCTAATGCCCCCACTCTGCCTGCTCCTTCTCATCTCTGTGTGACCTCACCCAGTTTCTATATTCTTTGTGTCTCTTGTAATTGTCTAAATCTATCACACATCTTCATTTATGTGTTTGTTTGTCTCCCTCCTGCAAGAATGCCAGCTCCATGGTCACACAGGCCTGTGCTACCTTATTCATCACTGTATCCCCAACACCTGTAACAGGTGCTCAGTAAATATAAGGGTTCCTGTGCCTTGGTGACATTAGGGAGCAATACCAGTCCTGACAGAGTCCAGTGGGTCTACTGAGGGGCACTGTGGGGTCTACTCCCCGGTGAGTCTACTCCCTCCCAGTAAATATAGTAGCTGCTGAGTAAATATTAGTTGAATGACTGATTGGTGGTTTTGAGCTGCGCACTTCACAGCTTTACCAATGCACCTTTCAAGGAATAACTGAGTTATAACAATTTAATATTAAAAATTAGATGTTTCTTGATTTGATGCTCATTTTTATACCTTCCTGTTTGGCCATATTTTCAAAACAGATGTGTTTTCCAAAAAATCACAAGTGTTTAGGTGGATGTGGAGAGACTGGAGCACTGTGCACTGCTGGAGGGAGAGTAAAATGGTGCAGCTGCTGTGGAAAACAGTGTGGTGGTTTCTCCAAAAATTAAAAATAAAATTACCTGTGATCCAGTGATCCTAATTCTGGGTATATACCCAAAAGAATAGAAAGCAGGGTCTTGAAGAGATATATGTACACTCATGTTACAAATATACAGTAGCCAAAAGGGTGGAAGCAACCTGAGTGTCCATCGACAGATAAATGGATAAGCAAAATGTGGTATCTACACACAATGGAATATTATTCAGCCTTTAAGAAGGAAGGAAATTCTGACATGTGCTATAATGTGGATGGAATTTGGGGACAATGGTGGTGATGGCTGTAGAACAATGTGAATGTTTGAAGTGAAGTAAGCCAGTCACAAAAGGACAAATACTGCATGATTCTACTTATTTAAGATCACTAGAGTTATCAAATTCATAGAGACAGAAAGTAGAATGGTGGCTTCCAGGAGCAGGGGAAGGGATTGGGAGCCACCATTTAATGGGGACAGAGTTTCAGTTTGGGAAGATGAAAGAGTTCTGGAGATGGATGGTGGTGACGGTTGCATAACAGTGTGAATGTGCTTAATGCCACTGAACTGGACACTTAAAGATGGTTAAGACAGTAAATTTCATGTTATGTGCATTTTACCGTATGTTTTTTTAAAGTTATGTTTTTAATATACCCTGACTCTCCAATTAGTGCCTTTTCATATATCCCTGTCAGACCCCACTTTCCAAACCAGCTTTCAAGAAAGTTTCTGATAAATTCACTCACACTGGGATATGAACACATGATAAGGCTTGGTGACTTCCTCAGCCCAGCAGTATTTTTACTGAAACAGGAACATGATTGTAAAGTGGAGGTAGTGCTCCAGGCTTCAGGTGCAGGCAGATGGGAGGGAGGATCCTGGGACGAATCTCTCCCTTCTAGTCAAATCACTCCATGTGCACACATCTGCGGCTAAGCTGGGCTCCCACCCCTGGAGAGGTGATTCCAGCTTTGTGAGGACAGAGAGACCTGGAACTGAGCCCTGCAGGCATTCAGCTAAGCCAGCACTGCCAGGAGAGGCATGTGGGGTCACAGTCATCAACTCCCACGACCAAGGCACAGTCTCCTTTTCTGGCTTTCTGGCTGTGCTGTTTGACATTCCTGCTCCCATAGGATTCACAAGAAATCCAGCTTCATTTATTTATTTATGTATTTGCTTAAGATTTAAATTTCTTCCTCTGCTGCCTTCCAACTTGGCCTTTTAAACAAGACTGCAAGGCACAGAAAATGAGCTTGCCTTCCCTTCTGCTTTGCAGGGGTGTCTGAGGGAACCAAGTGACTCACCAGGCACAGACGAGAATAGCAGAGCTTGAGGAGAGGCAGCAGGGAGATGGCAGGGGCACACCCAGATGGTGCTGCCCGCTCGCCTGCTTCGCAGGGCTCAGTTTCTCTTCAAAGTGCCTGGACTAGCTGTCCGCAGAACAGATACTGTGGGAGACTGCAGTTGCCAGAGATGGTTCTTGAGGCTGAGCTGGGTAACTCGCTGGCCCAGGGTCACTGGGGAGGCAGAACGGGCAGGTGTTAGTTCGTGCTGGTGGAACCATTCAGCAACACCACAGACTCATGGGGCCTTGTCTACATAAACCTGCAGAAACACAAGGAGCCCTCCTGGTCCCTGGGAAGACATTTGGGGATTACCAACACCCTCACCTGATTCTTCTTTGGATGTGCAATCTGCTTTTTGGTATCCCTGATTAAGAGAGGGAAATTAATTATCAGAGCTTTTAATTATGGATGTAACGGGGTGTGTTGTCAGCATTTTCCCTGAAGCCTGAACAAAAATGATGGGTTCTCAGGTGCAAAACGTGATCTTGGGCTGTCCAGAGCACTGGATTGACCTTGCTGTGGCAGGTAGCCCTGGGAAAGGAGACCAATGGTCTGGGGCCCAGGGCATGGTGCAGAGAATGCCTTTGAAGCCTGCACACCTGACTTTTTATTGATTCCAAATAAACAACTCAGCTTTCTTATTTGCCTGGGTTAGTAGGGGTCTGTTAAGCTCTCCCAAAACTGGGCAGATGTTGCTGAAGCTAATCTGAACTTCACTGGTTCTTTCCCATGGAGTAGCTGCTGCCAAATATCTCAAGCTTCTCTTCCACCTGGTGACACTATTGCTGTGACCAAAATCTGTGTTTTGAAATAGAAATGAGTCAAGTGGCCCAGGTTATTCATGTGCTGCTGTGTCTGTGTGCAGTGAGCAGGTCTCAGGGAGGCCCTTAAAGCCTGTTGGCGCATCAAGTTCTGGAACCAGTTACTTCATAGGTTAAGTTCATGACCTATGAACCTATGATCTACGAAGTCCTCTTACCGACTGGCCAGAAATCCGAGGTTGGCTGGAAGTCTGAGTCCAGCTACAAAACACAGTATGAATCATAATCATGCAACTTACTAGCAATTTACCCCTTTTCTTAATTTTTTTCAGTGAGAAAATTACCAAAGTTTATAAAGATAACACACATACACATTTGCGATATGCGAGGCTAAGTTTTTGACTGAAAGGTGAATGCCCAGCCCAGGGTTGCACCTGAATATCATTATCTATTTTGCCCTCATAAAAAAAAAAAAATCCTGTAAGAGGGGCCTGTTCTTCCCTTTCCCTTTAACTGGGACAAAGGAAGAGTCATCTGGGCTCCTAACTTTGAAGGTCTAGAAACTTTTTTGTGGTTATACGTCTTAGTGAAAATCTCCTCGAGTCCCTTTTGTTATTGTGAGTCCTCTTTCTCCTTTAGTAGGAGAACGAGTGGCTCAGTTCCTGGGAGAATGGTAACTGGGACAAAGGAAGAGTCATCTGGGCTCCTAACTTTGAAGGTCTAGAAACTTTTTTGTAGTTATACGTCTTAGTGAAAATCTCCTCGAGCCCCTTTTGTTATTGTGAGTCCTCTTTCTCCTTTAGTAGGAGAACGAAGGCTCAGTTCCTGGGAGAATGTTTTAGTCCAAGTGCAACTATCACAGGACACGGGTTTGGCTCTAAAGGAGAGTTCTCTGGTCCTGAACATGATCGGCTTGGAGCCAAACGCGTCATCACAGTGTGGATCCTTGCACCTTGCAGGGTGCTCAGTGGGGCCCGGGGGAGTTGGAGTCCTGAATCCAGGTAGGATCTGCAGCTGCCAAATTAGAGAAAGCCCCCTTCTCTGGGTTTATCAGCTAGGCTTATTTCCAGCTGCATGTCATGGAAATCTGAGCTTGGTGGCTTAAACACCAGGGGCATTATAGTGCTCAGGAAGCCCAGAGATGGAGAATTCAGGTGGAGGCAGCTGCTTAGAGAAGGAAGACCCAGGTGCCTCCTCCTCGCTAGCTGCTCCATGCTTGGTGGTGGCTTTTGCGGTCCTGTCATGGGGTGGTGTTCCATCTCTAAGTGCTGCATCCTTACTGCAGCCAGAAGGAGAGGCATAGCCCAAGCCCCTTAGGAAGCTTGGTATTCATGAAGGGTCATTTCTCATTTCTGCTCGAGAGTCATTGGAGAACTGGGTCACATAGGGTCTCCATCTGCGTCCTGGCAGGAGAGATGGTGCACCCCCCAAAAGCAACCAAGGAGAGTTACTAAGGGTCTTAAGAAGGTGTGTCTGGAGTAAAGGGCAGTGACAATGGCAAGAGCGGAGAGAGTTGCCACTCGGGGCCCACAGAGCAGCGAGGGGCAGGGGGACTCACTCAACCATTTGTCTGAGACTGAGGTTTTCCAGGGACATTATGCCAGTTACTGGTGTACAGTGAGAATTGTATAAATGCTTGTACTTATTAGGATTATCATCTAGTTAACCTTTGTATTAGTTTCCTTTTGCTGCTGTAAAAGATTACCACAAACATAATGTCTTACGCAGTGCACATTTATTATCTAACAGCTCTGGAAATTAGAAGTTCCAAAACCAGGTAGGAGCAGGGCTGCATGCCTTCTGGAGGCTCTAGGGGAGAGTCTGTTGTCTCACTGTTTTTGGCTTCTAGAGGCTGCCTGTGTTCCTTGGCTCGTGACCTCTCCTTATCTTCAAAGCCTGTAGCAGAGCATCTACAAATCTCTGTCTTTTTTTTAACTCAGACCCTTCTGTCTTCCTCTTCCCCTTATAGGAAGCTTGTTTTTGATTATGTTGGGCCCACCCGGATAATCCAGGATCATCTCCCCATCTAAAGACACTTGACATAATCACATCTTTAAAGTCCCTTCTGCCATGTAAAGTAATATATTCACAGATTCCAGAGATTAGGATGGAGACACATTTGTGGGGTTATTATTCAGCCTACTTCAGTCTCTAAAAAATCAGTCTCTTTGTTCACCTCTCCCCTCTCCTTATCCACAGACACCCCCGATTGTTGCAAATGAGAGCAATGACCTTAATTAATCTGATAAACTTAAAGAAGACACTATGGAAAATCCAAGGTCAAGGAAATGCAAAACCCTAATTTTGGTGTGAGATGAGGTCCACTGAAGGATAAATGTCACTGACTTACCCTAGAAGTCCTCGGCACATTCTGCCTGGACTCCACATTTTCTTCCCTATCCTTCTATTCTTTCACTTTCCCTATAAGCATCATCTTCCAGACCAAAAAAATATTAATTTTTCCAACATTTTTGCTAAGTTACTATACTTACCACCATATTTACAACTGCATAAAACAGTGTTTTTGCTTCACTCTGTTAAATTTAGTTCCATTTTAGCTCCATTGTGGGACAAATAGGATTTATGGGCCAGCCTGATCCTCTAACGTCTGTCCTGACCCCTGTTTGCAGCATTTCTATGGGAGAGTGGGTTCTGGAACCCAACAATCCATTCCAGATTCACGGTTGGATTGTGACCTGTCTGCAGGTTGGGGATTGACCATTCTTGACCAAAGCCCTGGTCAATGCCCTTTGGGGGGTAATTCCTGACTGCCTGTGCTCTTCCAATGTACCGGATAACAAATACATTGTTGCACGGTTGGATTGTGACCTGTCTGCAGGTTGGGGATTGACCATTCTTGACCAAAGCCCTGGTTAATGCCCTTTGGGGGTAATTCCTGACTGCCTGTGCTCTTCCAATGTACCGGATAACAAATACATTGTTGTGCTGGGTTCTGCAAATGGAGCCGGAAACCCATCTGCTTGCCTACAAAGCCTGGGTTTGACTCTATGCCTCTTAGACGCACCTTATTTAAGAAGACTTTGAATCATTCATTTTGCTTCTGGACTGTTTGAAGATATTTTTCTTTCCAGATTTTATCCATCAGAGTCCTAATAGGAAAAAGATGGCACTTCCAAACTGGGGGATAGAACAGAGTTTAAGGAAGAAATTACTAACAAAGGCGGGGGGTGGGCAGAAAGCCAGCAGCAGCCCAGGCCCTAGGACCACCCTCCAGGACCTTGGGAGAACGGTGTAGGAGAGGCCCTCCCACTGGAGTTTGGCTGTAGGTAGAAAGACATCGTGCCAGTGGTCCCCAAGATCACCCCCAGGTTCGAGGATTCACTGGGAGAATTCACAGGATGCAGCGTATGGTCATAATCATGGCTGTGATTTATTATATAGCACAAGGACACAAAACACAAGCAGCAGAGGGAAAAGACACATGGGGTGAAGTCCAGGGGAGACTAGTGACAAGCTTCCAAGAGGATACCCAAGAATCACACAGGATGTGCTTAATTCCCCCACAGCAGCAAGTTGTGACAACACGTGTGGAATGTCATCCACCAGGGAAGCCTATTAATGACTGGCACCCAGAGTTTTTATTGGGGGCTGTTCACGTGGGCACTTCTGCCTGGCTCATACCAAAATTCCAGACTCCCAGAAGGAGAGCAGGTGTTCAGCATGAACCACATTGTACCAACAGTCTACACACAGCGACTCCCATCCTTATCAGTTAGGGAATAGGGGGAACCCTCCTCAAATCCAAGTTCCCAGGTTGCCAGCCAAGCAAGTGCCGGCCTTGCATGCTGCCTTTCCAAGGAGAGTGGGCTCAGGCCGGCTATGGGAGCTCTTTTCTACCCAGGTCACCCTGCAGGCTGGTGGGGAGGTGCCAGGGGAAGGCAGTTGATGCCAACCTCACTCTTCCCTGCCCCCTGGTTTCCTGCTGGTATCTCCCACTGTTCAAATCTAATTAGAAACCAGATGGCACAGGAGATGCAGACAATGAAGACAGTACTCTTGGGGCACAGAGCAGGACATATGAGGGTGGGGACTGGACCTGAAAGGACCAACAGAATAACCCACCCAGGAACACAAGCCACCTCCCCATTCAGTCCAAAAATCTTTCTTGACCACTGACTCTGTGCCAGGCACTCTTGTAGTCTCTAGCAATTAGATAGCAAAAGAAGAGTCCTGTCTAAGTTGAACTTATATTCTAATGAGGAGCAACGACAAGAAAAATGTAAACAACTACATAGGATAATTTCTGATAGGAATAAGTGCCCACGGAAAATAAAGCATATCAAATCAGGAAGGGGGGGTGAAGGTGGATGAGTAGGGGCTGGAGGTGGTGTGGAAGGTGGGTTGGGATGTGCCAGGCAGTGGAACCAGAAAGTGCAAAGGCCCTGGGGTGGGAATGAGCTTTGATGGTTTAAGGGGCAGAAAGAAAGGCAGGGTGTCCCCAGCATGGTGAATGGTGGCAACAGGGAAGCAGGTGAAACTAGGATAGCAGTGGGTGGGGTCACATTCTGCAGAGTCTTAAAGACCACCAAGGTGTTTGGATTTTATCCTAATTTTCCTGTAAGCCTCAGGAGATTTCAAGCAGGGAGAGGCAAGGTATGACAAATCTTTCAGAAAGCTTATGCTGGCAGCTGTGTGAAACTGGACTTTGGGACATGCAAATGTTACCCTCAAGTCTGATTTTCTTGAACAACTAGAACATGAGAAGTGAGAACTTTCAGGAAAACTGTACCCCTGGAGTTGAGGTTCAAAAGTGAGAACTGTTGAATACAAATAAGTCATGACATTTTCACCAGGAGCATTTGAATACTATTTCTAAGTTCATGGCCAGCTGCACCACATTACAGCTAAGTAGCATGGAAATACTCCTGTGAATCAGACCTCTCTATGACCTCTTAATAATAGCTTCCCTGTAACTCTGCTCCCATTAGGAATGCCAAGTGGATGCCTTCCTTTCTTCTGGTGCCACAGACATTGTCAGGTTAAACTAGGCAGTGCATAAAGTATTTGGAACAGAAAGGACTTCTGTAGCTGAAAAATATGAGTTTATGACAGTCTGTTACTGAAGCCATAGTTCATGTTGTAACACTTGGGAAGAAGGAAAAGAAATTCAAGGTGCATTGCTGGGTTAAAATATGTTGCTTCCACAGTGAAAATTAATGGGGAATAAACGACAGTACTGTCTCTCATCAATGACATGCCCTCACCTATTTCAAAAAAGCCATAGGAGAAGTTGAGAGTAAGTGGTGCCCCCCAGAGAAGCTGATAGCTTGGCCCTGGGAATTGTGGCCTGAGGATGAAATCGGCATGGTTTCTGAGGTTGTTGGGTGAATTCATTCTAATCCATGTGGAGTTCTGTTGCTGTTTTTATCAACTTCTAAGACTGGGTAAAATTTTTAGACTGAAAACTTAGTCTGCCTAGACAATTTGGATAACACTTTTATATCTGTTAAGACTGTCATGGCTACAAGAGACAGAACAATTCAAACTGGTGGAAGCAAACAGAAAACCTACTGGCCCAAGTAATGAAAGGAAAAGATGATTAGCTTCAGGTAAAGCTTGATCTAGGTGCTCAAATGATGCTTCCAGGATCCTGCTTCTTGGGCTGCATCTCTTGGCTCTCTGTCTGTTTCATTGGCTTTATTCCCAGATGGATTTTTCCTCATGATTGCAAATGCTATAGTAGCTCCAGCCTTTTGTCCTCAACTTTGCAAGTCCAGTGGGCAAAAGAGAGAGTCTTCCCAGGCCCGTACACACATCCAAGACCTCATTCTCTATGATGCAGTTGGTCACATGACCTCCCCAACCAACCTCTATATCCAGGGATGGGATTGCACTGATTGGCTGGGCCTGGGTCACATTCTCGGTCCTGAACCAATTGCTGAGGCTGAGTTGAGATGGGAGGGATGAAGAGGAAGGCTGTGTGCTGATTGGCCAGCCTCGGTCACATGTAGTCACCCCCAGCAGAGTGGACCCACCTGAAGTCCATGAAGGAGAATAAAGGAGGAGAAGATTCTCCCAAAGGAAATTGAAGATAATGTGCCTAAAATATCAACAGATGCTAGTCAGGGGTAACAGTCTCCTTTTCTCCTCCCTTCTCTTCTTGTAGGTGAAGGAAGATTATGCTCAGCTCAGCCGCAAGCTCACTGTAGTGACCAGAGAACGTGATTTGGCCGTGAAGGAGAAACATCAGCTCAAAGCCAAGCTGGAGAACCTAGAACAGGTCCTAAAGGTAGGCTGGTGTTCTGCATTTGGGGACCACTTCTGCTCTGCCAAAGGTCAGCCTGAGCAAGGCGGGGCTGCGGGGCTCCAGAGCAGAACACAGTTGAAGCTCTCTCTGCTGCCATCATCAAAATTCAGGGCTCTTGGGGCTGTTTTCACCCTTTTGATGGTATAAAAAGCAATAAATAACAAAATTCGAATGTTTCTGGAAGCAATCCCGTAAAACCAATTATGCATTTCCATTTCTTAGGATTTTAAACACAGCTGAGCTGTGTGGTGGTAGGCAGTGCTTCTGAATGGAAATTGAGCTTAAGTTAAAGACCAGAGGTGTCTACACTGGTTTTTTAAACTTCATGAATTTTAAGCCATTCCTCAGATGCATAACGACCTTTGTTATAAAGAGAATAGAGAAATCAGAAAATTGCTTTATCAGGGTGCAGGTAATTGGATACTCCTCATGCATTTCTGATGAGCTGGGATCTACTTCAATATTTAATGGATGGGTTAATTTGCTATTGATGTCATTGTGTTAAGCTGAATAAATTCTTTAGCTTTTTTTTTTTCTTGAGTGTTAAAATTTTATTGGATTCTCATTGTGGGATTTTTTTTTAAATAAAAGAATAGAAGGATAATCATCTCCAGTGATACTGCACGGTACATACTTGATCATTAACGTAGTACCTTACTTTGATCATTTGCATTTCACAAGTGTGGAAAACAATATTATGCTGTGCTCACTGATACTCTTTAAATCAAGAAGTGATTTTTAACTCCATCTATAGCTCCTTTGGGGAGACTGTTAGAGCTCAGAGGGGAAGCAGATTAGTGGTTGCCAGGGATGGTGGGGGGATCACGAGGAAATGAGGAGTGACTGCTAATGGGTATGAAGTTTATTTGGGGGGTAATGAAAATGTTATGGGATGAGGTAGTAATGATGGTTGCAGAACTTTGTGACTATACCAAAAACACTGAATAGTACATGTTAAAATAGTGAATTTTATGGAATGTAAATTACATCTCAATTAAAAAATAAAGGTGCCCTATTCTCTCACTATTGGTCCTGAATATGAAGCAAGCTGGTCGTATGGTTCTCAGCCAGGTGAACAGAACTGTGCTCCATGCTGGGTGGCTTGTGAGACACATGTGTGTCCAACTGAGCCCTCTCCTGGGGAAGAGCCAAGGCTGACTCTGGCTATATTGCTTTGCATACTTGCTCTAAGTTTAGGACATAACCTTAAAGAGAGGAGATATGACCATGTAGTTATTTAAGCAACTTCTGTGACTACCAACTGTGAGTTCTCCTAGGGCACAAACCATGATTTATTAAACCCTCTGCCTTAGTACTTTGGGCAAAGAAGGTGTTTGATTAACTTAATGGAAGATGGGCTGTGAATCCCTGGATATAAAGAGCTTAGTTGAGAGTGTGCCAGATTAAAGTAAACAGGAAGGATAATTTAGATCGGTAGTTCTCAATGGGGGCAAGTTGCCCCCCAGGGGACATTTGGCAAGTCTGGGGACATTTTTGATTGGTGTGACTGGGGAAGGAGAGCTATTAGCATCTAGTGGGTAGGGAATGTAGTTAAATCTCCTATAATGCACAGGTCAGTCCCTGGAGTGGATTGAATGGTCCCCCAAAGTCATTGAAGCTTATCCCCATTATAACTGTTGAGGGTAGGAAATCCTGTTATGGTAATCGAAAAGTGGGGCCTTGAGGGGGTGATTGGATTGTGAGGACTGTACTCTCATGAATGGATTGATCCATTCTGGAATAAAAGGAGTGGTTCTAGAGTCTTTAAAAGGGGAGTGATTGAGGTTAGTCTCTCTCTGCTCTGCCACCCTGCCATGTGAGACCCCTGCCTTACTGTTAACACCAAGGCCTTCACCAGATGTGTTCCTTGGACTTTGAACTTCCCAGCCTCTGAAACTGTAAGCAATAAATTTTGTTTTATTACAAATCACCCAATTCTAGGTATTTCGTTATAAGCAACTGAAATAGACTAATATAGCCCCCAACAGCAAAGAATTTTCTGGCTCAAAATATAAATAGTCCTGAGGTTGAGAAACCCCATGTATTTGTTTCTTGTTGCTGCTGTAACAAATCAGCCCACCGTGGCTTCATGGCTTAAGACAACACAAATGTATTTTCTTACCATCCTGGAGGTCAGAAGTCCAAAATGAGTCTTACAGGCTAAAATGAAGGTGTCAGATGGCAGGGCTGGTTCCTTCCTGAAGGCTTTAGGGGAGAATCTGTTCCTCCTCTTCCAGCTTCCAGGGGCCACTCACGCCTCACTCTTCACCCTCAAAGCCAGCAATGTAGCATCTTCTCTCATCTCTCGCCTCCTGCCTCCCTCTTATAAAGACCCTTTTGATGATATTGGACTCACCTGAAAAGTTCCCATCTCATGGTCCTTACCTTAGTCACATCTGTCCTCTTCCAGCTTCCAGGGGCCACTCACGCCTCACTCTTCACCCTCAAAGCCAGCAATGTAACATCTTCTCTCATCTCTCGCCTCCTGCCTCCCTCTTATAAAGACCCTTTTGATGTTATTGGACTCACCTGAAAAGTTCCCATCTCATGGTCCTTACCTTAGTCACATCTACAAAGTCCCCATCATGGGTTCCAGGTTTGGAAGTCAGGTATCTTCGGGGGCATTATTCAGCTGTCACACACTGGATTACCTTAAGGGGGTGACTGAACGCGTCGATCCTACCCATGGGCAGAGGAAGTCTGGTTCAGCTTTAGGGGTGTAAGATTCCTGTCTGCACAAACCTGTGTCTCTCCTCACCTGGCCTGTGGAGGCTGCCCTTCCTGTCTGACCTTGGGTTTGAACCTCACACCTAGGGCCTTACACGGGTGTGGACAACCCAGGCTCATATCCAGGTCTGTCCATCCCCCTCTGAAAACTGCCCTCTCCTTGGCAGCCCTCCCCTCCAGGGGTGCACACAGCCTGGGCATTGCAAGCCTTTGGGAGGACAAATGGTGAAGAAGCCTGTGCAGGGCCTGGGGGTCAACTCCCAGCAACAGCTGCTGATAACATGTGTGTGCAATGTCATCTAACAGGTAAGCTCAGCAGAGAATCAGCGCCCAGAGATTTTACTGGGAGCTGATCATGGGGGCACCTTGGCCTAGTACCAAAATTCCGGATCCCAGAAGGAAAGCCAGTGCTCCGCATCAACCACGTGTTTGTACAAATAGTTAGCCACAGGGATCCCCTCTGAGCAGTTAGGGAATGGTGGGAAACCCTCCCCAGATCTAGGTTTCCAGACCACCAGCCAGGGCCAGCCTTCAGCAGACCTCTCCAAGGACAGCAGCCTCGGGCCTGCTGTGTGGAGTCTTCTCCATACCCCGAGAGAGCCAGTCGGGGAGGAAGTCCAGCTGAGTTCCTGAGCCTGGCCTGGGCTGCGCCTGCATCTCTGGGTGGGGAGCCTGGCTCCAAAGTTTCCACTGATGGGGCAACCCTTTCTCTATTCCATCCTCTCAGAGCACAGGCCTTTCAAAAACGTGTGCAAAGACTCTGGTTAAGCTGATGGCATCTGGCTGGTCTGCTGCTGCCCTGGTGCTGTGGCTCACCCTCTACCACTGGGTCCCTCCTGCCACCTACCTTCATGCATGACGCACAAGCCCCACCCTGGCTCTATTTTTCTCCTTAACCCTCATCTCCACCCAGCTCTTTTGCTAATTTGTGTTTTTGGTCTGTCCCACTCCTCCTTCCCCAGCTGAAAAGTGAGCTTCGGGAGGCAGGGACATTTTGTTGGATGATATCCAGTGCTGGAGCAGTGCCAGGAGCTTCATAGGTACCTCATGAAACTCTTCTTCCCAGGACAGTTTTAATAAGTGAATGAATGAGAGTGGCTTGGAAACGGGGGAAGGGAAGGGAGGGTGAAGGCCCCAAGGGGGTCCATCGTCCAGCGTGCTGGGACAGGTGGCCTGTCACGGAAGCCTCCAGTCACCTGGGAGAGAGGCCTGCTGGAGCAAAAGCAGCTCTTTCTCAAAGGACTTCTGCTCAAGAAAAAAGGGAGAGAAAGAAGAAATGGAGTTTCAAAGAGGCTTGTCCTTCTGGCGGGAGGTGATTCTGTCACTGCTGAAAGGTGAATATCTTGTACGTTTGCATAAACCCTGTGCCACCTGCCAGTTTTCCACACCAGGTGCTGAGGAGGAACAGGAAGAGGGAGGTGATGACTCCCCCACAGCAGTTGTTGGAATCCCTGTGCTCTTGAACGGAACTTGCTAAACTTTGTGGCTTTCAAAGAATCACCCTCAAGCTGGGTAATCGCGTGTTTCACACACGCTGCCTCAGTCTGTACTGGTGGAAGAGTGCAGTGACTTTCCTGCTCTTCTTCTGGTATTTTTGTCATAATAGGAAATGGACTATGCAAAATTATCCCTTCAAAACCATTTTTTTTCTGAGCAGTGAAGCTCATCAGTGGACACGGGGAAAAGTGGAGGTGGATACCTGCGGGCCCCAGTGTGTAGCTGACTTGGTTTAAAAATTGAGGAGACCCAGCACTCTCCTCTCCACAAATGTGAGTTAAATGATGACGTTGCATTTCCTGAAGCCACCTGGACTCCACTGCAGCTTGCTTTGTGTGGGTGGCACTTTGTCTCTTGCAGTCAGTGATTTGAATTGAATTGGAACCCTATCCTGGTTTCAATTGCTGAGAGCCAAAGAAGATTCTACCAGGACCAGCGCCCATCTGAGGAGGCTGTCCGGTGATGCAGGATTCCCATCTAAATGTACCTGAAGCCACACCTGGGCCACTTGCAGCCTCTAACCATCATCTGGGCAGAGCAAAGATGCTGAGCTGCTGGTTTAGGAAAGGGCTGGTGATCGGCTCAACAAACCACACCTGCCACTGGTCTTTATTGACTTGAAAATAGAGCTTTTAAATTTTTTTCCAAAATATAAAAGCTTTTAGTGAAATAGATAAGACTGAAATTGGGGCTGAGCATTTTCTAAAACAATCCAGTGAGAATTATACTGAAACTGGCTGGAATCCCCCTCATGAATC